GTGGTCATAGACGAAGGTCACTGCTATTTTATGACTGCCTGAAAGCTGGATGCCTTTGCCTCTACCTTTGCCAATGAATGGATTGTATGTGCCTTGTTCCTTAAATTGTTCACTTCAAAATCCCAGTGGTGATGAGTCTGATTGGTAAACCTAAGTCCCAGGCTCATGCCGTGAATACAAGGGAGTTCCTTGCATTTTGGGGGGTTCCACTTGGACTTTCCAAAAATTAAGGGTGGAAGTTACCTCCAAATCACAAGGGTGTTCAAAAGGTACTGGGCAGCCAGAAAATATAATGTCCATGATGAGCAATAAATAAAAGGAAAACAACAGACTGAGAGAAAATATTTGCCACAAATATGATAAAAAGAAACAGGAGGTTAAAATATCCAGTGGTTAAAACAAAAGCACAATATTTGTAAGAAAAACCAACAACCTGTTTCAAAGCTGATCAAAGGATACAAACAGGCATGTGAAAAATAAAAATAACCAATAAAGTTATGAAAAGATGCTCAATTTCAAGTACAGTTAAAGAAATAAACATAAAACCCAGAAGATACCACTTTTACCCATTACATTGCCAAAATTTAAAAAGACTGGTAACTTCTGTGACACTCCCAGAAAATAGACACTTTCACAAGCTGCTAGCAGAAGTGTGAATCTTTATAACATTTTGGGAAAGTAATTTGCTATTATCTTGAACAATAAATACATGCATATCTTATGACTCAATAAACTCTACTTTTGGGTTCTGAAATCACCAGTAGATTAGATTTACATATAAAGGTTTTTTTAAAAATATTATTTTTTGTAGGGTCAAAACGTGGAAACAACTTCAATGTCCATTAATAAAATACAGTGCATCTATAGCAGACAGTATGTAGCTACTGGAAAAAAAGTATAAGAATAGAATGTGAGCTCCGTAAGAGCAGGGGTCCTATTTTTCTTATTTACTGCTATATCCCCAGGGCTTACAACAGGGCCTGGCATATAGCAGTTACTAAACATCCCTGAATGGATTATGTATTGACCTTACGGGAAAACCATAAATATTTTCAGTCAAAAGAGGATAGTTTAATAGTAATATATATGATAAAATAAAACCTCCATACATTTATGTGAGCATAAAGAAAACTAAGGAAGGATATGTATCAAATTATTAACCTCAGAAGTGGTGGTTACAGACTTATGGTAAGAGAAGAGTTGAGGGGATAGAGGGTTGGGATTAGATTGGGATTAAAATTTTTGACTTTTTCTATGAATTGTTATTTGTTGTTTAAATTGTTATAATAAATATTGTTCTTTTTTTCAACATTCCCTTCAGTGATCACCTTCTCTTTTCCTAAATAGCTTCCTAAGAGAGGAATCTAAGCTGTCTCATTTCTTTTATCTGCCCCTCATTCCTCTGTATCCAGCTCCTGCTCCCATCACATAACTAATAGTACCCTTGGCTTTCTAATTCTAAAATCCAATAGACACAGTGCCTGACCTTATGGAGTTTATAGACTAAAAGGGGAGAGAGTAACATGCCATGAGTATTACAAAGAAGTACAGGTGCTATAAAAGTACATAATAGGCAGAATTTAGTGTTGGGAAGAATGGTTAATGTAGAAAGAACATTCAGGTTTACATCTGAAAGGTGAGTAGGAATTAGCCAGGCAAAGAGGTATCCTGGCAAATGTTTAACAACTGACTCCCCTCCCTCCCAAAAAATGCCTGATTTGTAGCATTTGCTGATTTCCATGGTGGATTTCAAGTTGCCAAGCTTAGCAACCAGCAAACAAAGACTCCTAAAAATTTAGCAATCAGGCCCTCCTAAATTGGTTCTAGTATGCGACTGGAAAGATCATTTTTTTAAAGCAGAGAATATGGCAAGTTTGAAAGCTGTAAAGTAAGAAAGGATGGGACATTCCATTCAAGGAAAAGTGAAGAGGTTCAGTGTGACCCAGAAGGACAAGTGGTCAGATGAGGGTGGGGAGTTAAACTGGACCTTATAGTCAAGCGAAGAATTTTAATCTTGATTTAAAATTGATCTAGATCTCAATCAGTATTTTGATCTAAGGGCAGGGGAAGACACTGAAGGGTTTTAAGCAGAAAAGAGAGTAATTAGAATCACATTTTTTAAAGTTCATTTTGCCTGCAGTGTGGAGAATGAATTGAAGGGCTGTAAAGAGATTGGTTAGAAGGGAGGTCACTGCTGTAATCCTGGAGGAGCTGCTATTCTCATCAATCAAGGTGGTGGCAAGTGGGGAGGCAGAGAAGTAGATGGATTCAGTGATAGTTAGGAGAAACAAAGGGAATAGGAAAAATCAAAGATAACTCCTGGGATTTTTTTTTTCATGAAAAACTATGCAGAATAAATGCCATTTAATGAGGAAGGGAATGGTGAAGAGGATCAGGTATGCGAAGTGAGGATTATTTATAAATGTCTACATTATGCCAAGCAGGACAAAGTCTCAGTTCTCAGGGATTTTACATTTTAGTGGTGAGGAATAAAGGTAAACATATATTTTTTAAGAAGGTATCAATTATAAAAAATATTATGAAAAATCATAAAAAATTAAATTCTCCGCCTGTAATCCTAGCTCTCTGGGAGGCCGAGGCGGGCGGATTGTTTGAGCTCA